CTCGTTTTTTATAAGTTAAACACTTTTCTATAAAATTATCTATCTAGAAAAATTTTAGAATGTAAAACTGTAGCGGAATTCGAATTCTATAAGAAAAAACGTAGATTGTAACATATTGCTAGTATATGGTTAGAATATGAGAGCTGTTTTCCTACTAATTACACGATATCATGTTGGGTATAAATATTATTTTGTTTTTCATCATAACTAAACTAATTATTAATAATAGACATACTATTGTTGTAGAAGATTTATTGTTGACTATAGCCAAACTTTTAACCGTTTTCTTCTTGTGATTGTTTGGTTCCTTTGTCGCTTTATTGATATGTTTACTAATAATTTTTAAGTTATCAATTTGTTCTTGTTGTTCATTTAATCTAGCTAATAATTCCTCATTTGATTCTTCTAATGATTCAATTTTTGTGTCTAATGATGGTATTAAATTATGTTCTAATTCATATAATCTTTTATTTTGTGCTGATAATTTTGATTCAATATTTTCAAATTTTTCTAGTAGTGATGTTAATTTATCTGGTGATCTATTATAAATGATCAAAATTAAACATGATGAACATAAAATAATACCACTGTAAAAGAAAATTGGACGCTCTTTCTGAAATTGTGTTAATCGTTGCATAGTGTGTGTGCGTTTATAACGTGAATAAATTGAAAATAGTGAATTTTTTTATTTTTTCGTTGAAGTGAAAAATAAAAAATAAAGTTTTATTGTCTTTTTATGTTAAAAAAGGTGAAAGTGAGACAATGTATGGAGCAGAGTAGAAAAGAGAAACTTTTGTTATTGTTCTCTCAATGCAATTTAATATAAAAGAATACTTATAGTTTGAATAAATTTAATAAGAAAAAAAAGATGGTGGATGTATTCACGATTATCGCTATTTTGCGGGAAAAAAATGAGTGACCATGAATTTTGCAAAAACCACAGTGTTACTGTGATGAAAATAAGCTTTATTCTGTCAGAATACAAGCAAAAAAATATTTCATTATAGTTTTTTAAAATAAAACTAGCAAAAAACATACGAGTAAATTTTTACTCTAATAGTTTAATATTAAAACTACAATGAAATAATCAACTTTTCAAAACACATTGTTAAAAAAGTGAATCATCTACGACAGAAAACTAGAGTATTTTGTTCTTAATTATTGTACGAACACTACACATCATGCCGGAAACGAGTAGTATCTTTCATAAGCCGAAAGACAGCATGATTTAATATTCTCATTTTATTTTTCTACAAACTTTTTATTCCTTTTTTTATAATTTTGTCGACACACTTATTACTATTCTGTTCTAACATAACCTTTTTGGATTCGTTAAAATTAGCTGTGACGTTATAGTCTAGCATCGATTTAGATTCAGAAAAGTTTTCTTTACAAAATACGAAGCTTTTTCCCGCATTGTAAACGAAAGATTGCATTTTGGCACACAATGTATAGTACGTTATAACGTGGTTGTATGCATTGTGGTTTGGTGAGTAAGCGTGTTAATAGATGTTCGACTGTAAAGCTGTGTTGCATTGTAAAAACCAGCGGGCTTTTTCATGCTTTTAATAGTTCTGGATAAAGGTCGGTTAGATAGTTACCGTAGTTGCCATTTGGAAGGGTGAACTTAGGTGTATGTTTTCATAACAGAAAGCAATTTGAAGAAGTTTGTTTGGAGGAGATTTTCTAGGAAAGCTCATAGCCCACACACATGAAGTAAAAATTTATTGATTTTGTTGATGAGAAGATAGGTCCAAGTGTCCTCTTTAGAATAAGGATCATTCGATCTCTTCATTCTTTATCGTTCAGGTATCGCAGAGGATTTCAGGAACTCCATGGTCAATTTCTGAGTACTGTTAACAGCCTCAAGAATGGATAAGAACATAGGCTGTTGTGAGTCTCGGGACAACTGTTACTTCTTCAGAAAAATACTGAAAACTCAATAAAAACCTTTCTAGCCAACAATATCCAGATTTAGGCTACGTTCACTAAATGTTACCAGATTCATGGATCAATCATATTGAAATGAGCTCAAGCTGTCAAGATAACTCTGATTTGAGTGTTTTACGTGATCAGAGTAGAAAAAATGCAAAGAAATTGTTTACATAGACTGGATTTCTGACTAGATCCCCAGTAAGATCTCCAAAATGATTTTTGTTAGTATACTCAGGTGTTCTATTCTCTCCTATTTTCTGCGCGCTCGAGATGCTACTATGATATTAATAGCTTCAGCTCATTTCAATCGTTTGTGATTAATTCATGAATTTGGCAACATTTAGTGAAAGTAGCCTAAATCTGGATATTGTTGGCTAGAAAGGTTTTTATTGAGTTTTCAGTATTTTTCTGAAGAAGTAACAGTTGCCCCGAGACTCACGACAGCAATCTTTAGGATATGATAAACGTTAAAGGTTAGGTGCAACTGAGAGCAGAAAAATGATTCCATATTTTTAGACTGATACATCATTATTTGAACCTCACAACGCCTTCAGTAATCAAAACATTTTTTGTTATGCAGCTAATCTACACTTTCTTCATCAGTTATGTGGTAAGGCTGCTATATGTTATTAAACAAAATCTTCGCCTTCGGTTATCATATTTAGCTACTTTGCACCGTATTTGCAACTCTCGCAGGCGTGATGGTCGATTGGTTGAATATAAACCAGAATTTGTTTCATGTTTTTGTTTATAACTGGTTTAGTAACAATTACTAGTCGACGATAACCACTCGTTGAGCGATGAATACTTACAATGCCTGTCGTGTAAACATATACCCTCCCCTAATATTTTGATTGAATTTTTCTAATATGGGAAAAAAGCTTGACGAGCCAAGACGAACCAAGCCTACAAAAACGCAGCCAGTGGAGAGCTCTGTTTTCTAGCTGTTCTTTATTCTTTATTTTTCTCTATCACTTCTTGTTTTTTTACCAACAATCGATGTGTTATCGTGTGTTTCTATCTCATATGGAATGGATGGATGTTAATAGTGAAAAAAAGAAGTCAATAAAATTTAACTACTTGAGTGATTTGAAAGCCATTAAAATTAATCGTAGACGATTAAACTCTCTGATCTCTGAGAAAAGAGCGTTTTTATGATTAAACATATTGGATAATAACATCAGTTCACCGCTTGACGCATTTTTTGTGGATGTCTACCTGTCAGAATAAAGGTATAGATTCGCTTCTTGGTGCAGTCACGTTTGCACTGAAAGTTGATAAGAAAGATAAATGTGCAGCATGTCGACTGCTTATGCAAATAAGATAGTTCAACTCTTTGAGGCTGTTAGACTACCAATCAGAACTCGTGCATCAATAGTGTATATGACAAAAAAAGTGTATTTCCAGCTTGAATGCAGTTTTTCCTATTTCCGAAATGCTCCTCTTTTTGTAGAAATCTAGCTGTGAAATCATTTCTGTCAATGTGATCTGTCAGAAACAATTGAGTGCTAAAAAAACTATCATTTATACACTTCTTATCTTGCTAATTTCTATAAATTTCTTTCTGACTCGGTATTACGTAAAGTCAAGATTAATGTAACACTTTGAATCCCAGTGATACGTACTCTTACCACCACCAAATTTCCAAAGTTTTGGACAATCTTCAAGAACTTTTGTCATACACTATCTTAGTAATTTATTGTTGTGTTTCTCTTGTCTGACGTGAGTCTAATCAAATCGAATGATGTGTGTCTACCCATGCAGACGGAAAAAGTCGTTCGAGGGTGCGGTGAGTACTCGAAAATGAGTCCTCGGCGAGGATCTATCTAAAGCATATTTTCGAGCACTCGAAATAACCCTAGAACAAGTGGTTGAGTATATTTTATTCGGATCTTTGTGTAAACAATTGTTTTATTTTATCATCAAATGCATAAGCATAACTAACGAAATAGAGCTTCGAACTAACGAAATAAATGCCTTCTTATATAGTTTATATCATGTTTTATCAAATTTGATTCACTATAGGAAAATCACAGAATCACGCTGAGAGTGCAGATTAACGTTCACATTGGCTTGACTCAGAATTCTAAGTAATTCAAAGAAATTCCTTGTATACTTTGTCCAAAAATAATAGTAAGCTTAGCAAGTACGTCAGAATCTACTACAATTTAGCTAGAATGAATGGAGCTAGAAGAAATGGTCATTCTCAAGACGAAATACCAGCAGCAACTGAAAGTTTATCGGCAAGTAAGAGAAGCCGTCAAAAAATTCTTAGCGATGAGCACATTCTCACCGATGGATTTTTTCACACCGCTAACAGATGAAAAGAAAGTAAAATACTGTTTTCTTGGCCTGACGAAAAGAATATTGAAATATAGTAATCATTGAAGGCAGGAGAAAATCAAATCCAGGCAAATTTAAGATATTCCTACGAACAACTAAGATCAGATAGCAAGAATGAGTTGATGAGAAGAGTGATATTTAGACTCAAGAGTATTATAATAGAATTATCCGAGTAATCCCTTTCCTACTTTTTAGCTTTTCAAACTTTTCTACTTTTCATCCCTCTTCGGCGGAATCTACGGTTCATTGCAATTCTACAAAGTGTGCTGGATTCTACATACATCTGTATATCTCCACTGTTCCGTCCTTCTTGCTTGGAAAAAACTTATTAAGCGGCTCACTTAGACATGGGCGGTCGTCCCTTAATGGGCGGTTGTCCCTTAATGGATGTGGTATGTCATATGTTTCTACTTTTGATCATATAAGCAAAATAATCGGTGTATGCCTAGTTACATAAGATCAAACTGTAAGACTTTCTGACGATTTTCTACACGTTTCTATTTAAGTATGGGGAACACGTCAAGTTTTAGTTGATTTGACACAACTGTGAAAAGAAAGCTTAGTTCTAGTGTCGGTCACGGTTCGGTCTCGTAAAAAAAGTTTGTAGCTCTGGTCCTGGTAAAAAGCTTTTCTAGTCCCGATCCTGATCCCAGTCCTGCCCATGTCTAGGCTCACTCTTATGTAGTAAGAAAAGTAGTAAATATTGAAAGGGATGAAACGTAGAAAAACATATCTGCATTGCATGATGAATGTTAATACGTGTAGTGTGACAGAATCAGCCCACTACTAGCTTACAGTTACACTATATCAACGTATTCCTGCAGTACATTTCATCTTAAATCTTTTTTGTGTAGTCTAACCGCTCTGTGAATTCGAAGGTTTCAAATTTTATACGAGGTTCTTTCCCATGCTTGGCGTCATAGTTGTATGTCTTCTAGATGCTTGGAAACTCATCTTTCTGCGTATCACGTATCGTTTCATCCTGGATAGATCTAGAACTGCAGCAGTTACTGATAGCTGCGGCCTATCCTCTACAAATTTGTAAACGGTTGATGGTTTTGTTAATCTGTAAGAGTGATAAAATGTGATAAAACACGTCATTACTAATGGACAAGACTAATCTACAACTGCAATATGCAAGTAAATTTACGAAAAATTGTTAAACTATTAGTGTCTTTGAACTTCAGTAAAAAATCCTTGTGGAATTTTGGTCGAATTGCTAATTTTTATCGTTTTTGATGTAGAATTCGGAAATTTAGAATTTTATATGAAGTTCTTTCCCACTGTTTTGCGTCATAGTCATATTGAAAAATCACAGAATCACGCTGAAAGTGCAGATTAACGTCTACATTGGCTTGACTGAGGATTCTAAGCAGTTTCAAAAAAATTCCTTGTCTACTTTGTCTGAAAGGAATATTAAGGGGCCAGACAAAACTGCATTATCTTAGGCAAATGTATTAAGGTCAAAGGTTGTATAATGTGATGGGTGACCGTTAAAAACCCCAAGAATAGTGAAATTTCGAAAGCTGTCGATCAACATCATGATAGTATCAATAAGGTCGATGATAATATTGCTGGATTTTTTATTAAAATCTATTTTGACATCATCAACGCACGATTATCTGTCATTAAGTCGATGCATTGATTCTATGGAAGAACTAAATACGAAACAAAAGTTAGATGACAAAATGAAATAATCTGAAATTTTTAGATAGACTATACAAGAAAACGAAAAGGACAGATAATTGAGGGTGTATTTTAGTCAGATAGTGAATATTATTTATACCGTTTTAATATTGATAATAGAAAAAAATGTTATCGTACTTCTTTAAACGAAAAACTTCAATTAAATGGCGCTTATATACAAACAATTCGATATCAATACAAAGAATTTTTATACTTTCTTACTGTTTTTCAAAACTAACTACCTTCTGCATTTAATAGATTTTTCAAACTAAAATTTTATAATTTTTGATGATTACAAATTCAGTCATATTTTATTATTTGAACTATGTTTTTCTTATTAATTTAAAGCTTTCATCATCATCCACAAGGAATTCTGAACAAAGATGTCGATTTGGTGTACTTGTCAAAGGTCAAACGAACATAACGGATTGTATTAACAAACCAGCTGCAACTGAAGGCTACAAAGTGGATTGTACAAAAGATATGAACTCTAACAACACGATCTTTGATCCAGTAACGATAGGTTTCGGAGAAAATTGTATAATTCATGAACTACACGTACAATTCAGTGATATACATACATTTTTACCCTTCATTCGAAATATTATTCCACTATTACAAAAAACGTATATGGTGCCCAAAAATAGTCAACTCTATATTTCTGTCGCTAAAGATTATCCACAACGTAACTTAATAATGTTTTGGTCTTGGTACATGAATTCGGAACTTATGGGAGTATTTACACCTAATATAGATGTATTTGAATTTGTGCTACACTCGATGAACAGTAAGAATTGACCTAATTAATTGGAGAAATTTTGTTTTTGAAAAGCAGTTTACTTTTGTAAATCGAACATAGATGTATCAATATTTGTTTCATTTTTAGTTTACAGTGCTCTTGGCATCGATGATTTTAGTTTCAACTCTAATTTATCACCGTCACATATAAAAATTCGTTATCCATGTGTTTCGGGTGAAAAACGTTTGCCATACGGTGGTAAGGATTTTTATTATGACATATCAGTCGTATATCAAAAGCCGAATAATGTTCAAAATCAATGTTCAAACGTTCTATTAAAATCAAAACTTAAGTGTCAATTTATGGCCAATGATGTTGCATGTCGAGTGAATGGTGAATATGTTCCATATACGTCTATCGATTGTACTCATATCAGAGATCCTACAAATATTGTTGGAAAACAACGAACGAAATACGAAATACAAGGATTTGATAGTGGGTGTAAAGTAAATAATATCACATTAAAATTTTCAACTACAACAAAATTTATGAAATTCATTGGTAAGAATGTGGTGTGTGCATAGGTATAGGTGAAAATTATAATAAGACTACTTGTAACTTGTTTTTCTGTCATAGATGAAGGTATTATATTTAAATATTTTGATGATACAGGCTCTGGCAAAAATTCGCTAGACATCAGAATTAATAAACAAGATGCAAATTTACTATTTAACGATGATCACTTTAACGTGTTAACAGCTAATAATATGTTAGATTTGTTTTCTGTAAGCATAGAGGATAGTAAACAATCATCATTCGAAACCATAATTGTCGAAAATTACATCGATGTTCAACAGGGTAGACTGAAAGAGGTAACAATTCGCGGTCCCTGTATGATATCGAAAGATCAATTATTATATGATACGCTCTTCAAAACATCAAGCGTTAGAGCAAAATGTGAAAATATAAAATTTATAAAAACAGCTCTGACAACAGCAATCACGTTGAAAAAAGAGATAGATTCATCGAGAACTAAATATGGTGATGGACCTAGAAGAAATGGTCATTCTCAAGACGAAATACCAGCAGCAACTGAAAGTTTATCGGCAGGTAAGAGAAGCCGTCAAAAAATTCTTAGCGATGAGCACATTCTCACCGATGGATTTTTTCACACCGCTAACAGATGAAAAGAAAGTAAAATACTGTTTTCTTGGCCTGACGAAAAGAATATTGAAATATAGTAATCATTGAAGGCAGGAGAAAATCAAATCCAGGCAAATTTAAGATATTCCTACGAACAACTNTGTTTTCTTGGCCTGACGAAAAGAATATTGAAATATAGTAATCATTGAAGGCAGGAGAAAATCAAATCCAGGCAAATTTAAGATATTCCTACGAACAACTGAGATTAGATAGCAAGAATGAGTTGATGAGAAGAGTGATATTTTAGACTCAAGAGTATTATAATAAAATTGTCCGTGTAATAAAACTGTACTCACGAAGTTTTGGTTAGCCCCTAGTACGATTTATGCGAAAGCGATAATATATGGCGCTACCAAAAACAACGCGACCAGTAATTACTTTCCGCATAGATCTCATTAAGGATTAATTAGAATTTCGTGAGGACCGTTTTATTAAACGGATAATTGGATTTTAATACTCCGAACTTTAATACCACCCTTCTCATCAATTCATTCCGACCATATGAGTACACATTTTAAGTTCATCTCGGTTCTCCCTGAGAATGTTTTGAAATTTTCTGAATTTGATTTATTTCCACCACATACGTTTTGAATGATGTCGATTTCTTTTGCACAGAGTTAGATTTGTGCATGAACAGACAGAGAAATCTGCATGGTTTTTGAATTTAGTTGACAAAAATTGTTTGAAAGCTATGCGATAGGAATTTTTTGCACGAGCTTTTGGTTCGCAGAGGAAAAAGCACTATAAACCCATATTTAAATGGATATCATACGTTTATTAACGTAAACATAATAAAGATTATCTATAACATAACCACAGTAGTCAATAGTTCACAGAAACAAATAGTACTCCGTGTAGATGTTCTTCTCTTCATAGATATATCCGTAATAATTTGATGCTACCCATGAGGTTTTTTTATCGATTGAACTGTTGTCTAAACGCGTGTAATCGACGAAATGACAGAAACGCCTTTCGCATATCGATTAAACGGCTATAAAATCGCGTTTCAAGTATCGATTAAACTTGTTTCTATTATTTCGTCGTTTACACGCGTTTAGACACCATCTCAGTCCATAAAAAAACCTCATGGGTAGGCTGCCTTCTCCAGATCGTCGTCTTTTCCCTGAACCATTCAATTTAGTCGTATTTGCCACAATATACCGATTGAAATGAGATATAATGCAACGCGAGTGTTTATATGCATATTTTTCTGGATTCATTTTACATGAGCACATCGTGAAACAGTGACAAGACCGCAGCATCCTCTAATATGTATGTTCGTTTTAATTAAAATACGACAGATATTCTTTCCTTAAGTGGAAATTCGCGCAGAAATCCCTATAGTATATTTTATAAACAAATTTTTCAACTAAATTCAAAAACTGTGCACATTTTCCTTTGTTTCCGTGCACAAACCCGACTCTGTGAAATAAATACAGAAACATTTTGTTCTACTTGAAAAAATAAACACCCCGCAAACTTCTGCAAAAATAAGAAAAACTCGCAGAAAACAATTTTTGTCTAAAATATACATACAAAAAGTGAGATTAAATAAAAAAATTTACCTGAGGCAACAGATAAATATTCTCAAGTAAAAGCAAATAAATGCTATCATACATCATCTTTCTTTGGCTGAATACAACTTCTATGTCGATTCATATTTGCGTTAGATGCATAGTCATACTGGTCAGAAAAATATTTTAGAAAATTCTTTACTTTTCTAAAATGTGTAATCAGAGCGTGCGCGTGTATTGGATTCATCATGCAAAAGGAAATAACAACATTTAAGAAAGGGTCATAATATCTCTTATTCAGAAAAATACGTTTTACAACAGAATAACGATTCTTCTAAATATACATGTTAGACTATATTAGACGTGTGAAGTTTTCAATGTACGTTCGACATACATTTTACAGCATATATTTCTTTATCTATACAGTGCATACAATACTACGCATTTCATAAAATCCAGTAGGCATTTTGTTCTAGTACAATATCGCATAAAATATCGTAATCGACATGAAAGATGATCAGATTCTTCTAATGTTTTACGTGTATTTCGATTTACGTTGATAAAAATATTCATTAAATGGAAAACCGAAGGAAGCAATAGCTAACTCTTCCACCCTAGAATATGCAAGCTATTAGAAATCTAGCAAATAAGAAGATATCTCTTTTCACATAAGATATCCCATGTGCGGCACAGTTTTTCGTCTCAACGCGCTCCTAGAAAAGAAACAGAACAGAAAGATATGCATGTGCGAAAAGAGATATCTACTTATTTGTTAGTTCTCTATTGATAATCATTTATCTCAATCATATGGTCTTTTTTTATACAAGTACCGAAATTCATCTGATATGCTAGGTAGTTTTCAGAAACAAACAAAACAGTTTTGTAATTATCAAGTTAGAAAAAAACCTATATTTCCTTCAGAATATGTTGTCGTTGATAAATTTTTTTATTTTATCTCACTTTTTTCGTCTATATATTATGTACGATGAGAGCAATGAACAACTAAACAATCTGCCAAGATCGCATGATCACTAGGCGACAATCAGTTCAGTCTGACAAGCTGAATGCAGTTTTATCAGAACTGAATTAGACATTATTAGAAAATATCTGATTCGGAGATGAAAATACTGATTAGCTCAGTCATTTCTTAATCTTGCGAAGGAATCGGGGCTGAAGTTGCTCAGAAAGACAGTTTCCGACATTTCAGAGTTGATTCCGGTCAAGTGATTATTGAAATTCTGAAATTGAAGCTCTGAAAACATCAAGAGGCCAAATTCATATTCATAAAGTGAATTCAGAAGAATTTAAACGAGAGAATATTCAGCGTTACGAGTTTTGGTGGATTCTTAAAGAGTGATGCAACACTAGTTCACAACTAAGCACATGTATTAGCTATGCAGTTTTATCAGAGTTAAGTCAGCCCGTGAAAAATTAAAGAATACTTTTCACACAATTATTTTTTTCTTCTCTTCTGCTTATCACCAAAAAAAATTCTGATGATACAACAGAGCCTACTCTAATAAAATAGTATATCCAAAAACTTTATATTATTTTTAGATAAAAAGAATATGATCGTTTTTTTAAACAGAAAAACTAGTTATTAATTGAACAATTAACTGCACGTAACTGGTCAATGAAATGACCCTATTTTTTTATCTAACGATAATATAAAGTTTTTGGATATACTATTTTATTGGTAGGTATGATGATAGTAGGCAGATTACATAGCAGGAGCACATGCATCTCGCTCTGGCCAGCCTTCTCTGCTACCAGAGTGAAATTCCGTAACGATTTTTTTGCATTTTGTTTTTCTTATAATGTTTGGGTAACGAGACGTCTAGAGATCTAGAATATCACAGATTAAAGAGAAAAGTGTGCTAAAGATTCTGAGATGTTCCTACAGTCTACACATTCTTTCATTCAGAAACTATGAGAAAAATACAAACACCTACTTTTTCGGTTAA